GCCTACCGAAATGTCATGATCCGAGACCCCCTATTGTCATTGCTGCCAGGCGCGTCCCATGGTTTCCGTCGCATCAGGATTCCCGACACGTTATCTGCTTATTCACTTATGACTGACTGGCTGAATGGAACCATAGGGCAATGCGTTGTTCGACAAGTATGATGCAAAGACCTAGGCATCTTCAAATTCCCATGATTGAGTATACGTATACACAAGGAAGCAAACTTCCAGCAATCCATCTGGTGACGGTGACACAGCTTTCCTCTCTTCTTATTTCCGTAATCTTGAACCGAGAGTGATACCGACTGCGTTGCCGGTCTCTCAACAGACATGAATGGACCTCTTAGCCGGTGGTCTGGGACAGAACTTCCTGGGATCACCGCTGTCCGTCAGGCGAGCAGTTTCACCTCCAAGCGACCAACGAGAACAGGAATTCCCCGAAGCAACCTGGGGATTGTGGGGACACGAACATGTTGGATACGCGCCTTTGCGCGTATCGCTCTCAAATAGGTAATAGCTGACCGTCTATGCTCCAAAACCCCTCTAAGATCCCGTCATCAACACCAACATCATAACATCATAGTTGCTCAGCTCACTTCTCCTCCTCCTAAAATAGGCACAGCCCCTAACCGATCTTGCATTCATGGCCCCTCCTTTCTTACTTGCCGGGCGCAACCCCTCATGCAGCATATGATTCTATCTTCCTTTGATGCTACAATACTCGCCTCTTTTGTAGTTTGTTTCGTATGCCTCAATGCAGCGAAGGTCTTGCATGATTGGAACTTTTGATGTGGCTTGAGATGGAGTGAGACCGTCATGTGCCCACCAAGCACTGTGCCCCCGACAGAACCCCCGAGTCAGGTGAAGGGAACAACTGGACGCCCTAAACATCACGTTTCCACGCTCGAGTAGCTCCATCCGAGCCGGCTTCACTTTTAGTAGTTGATCCAACAATACCACTCGCTTGGTTAGTACCAATGCGGCACACACGGCTCACCTGGATATGCCCAGGACTATTTACAAAAGTCTGGCCACAAGTGGGGATTCGTGTCCGCGTTCACTCCTACGACCACTACATACTGTATATCATATCTCTTATATGTGGTACAAATACAGCTTGGGAATGTGAAAAAAACCGACCATTCCAAAGCTTTCTGCGGCGAACAAGCCGGGCAATGTGGATGAATTCCCCAGGATGTCTGTGCTTTCCCGGTCGGTCCATCGGCAGCACAATAGGTAGCTACCTACTTGATGCTACAGTACATGATGCCACAACCCATAGGGCCGATGAAAGAACCCGTTCGTGTCCTAAAATTAGTGAGTGATCCATAACTGGACTGAGGCGAGACAGAAATCCCTATCAGTCAAGTATTTTATAACTGACTAAGACGAATTAATGGGCACTGGACCACCAAGCCTTCCACCATCCGTCCTAGCAGTGGAGCGCTCTTGAGGACGGTTCGGGAAGAAAAAGTTGACAGCGCCAAAACTACGAACTAGTAGTCATACTCTGACCCGAAGGTTTAGTTTTCCATGTTGTAGTTAATAGTGCCCCGTTTCCAATGTGATTGATCGATTCCGGGACCGCTCACTTAAATACTCAGATACTGTGTGTAAGTCTCATTACTCGTTGCTTCTTTTACTAGATGCGGAGCTATGCGTTGCAAAATCCTCTAGATACCAATTTTCTCTTAGATCGACCACGGCGATGGTAATAAAACGCATTCTTACTATCAAACAAAAACATACCGACGAAAAGTCCACAGTAACCCCATAGGCTGACGTACATACATACTTACCCAATACCCTTACGTTGTCTATTGGACGCCTTATGCGAACATCTCACAGAGACTGAGACCCTCCGGCTTACGGCTAAGACAAGCCCGATTATGCTTATTGCGAGTCCTGTAAGACAAGGAAGGACCTGGTATTCAATTCTTTGCCTACCACTAGTTGAAAAGCCTTTGCCTCCTACCTGTTTACTTTTGTCTCTCTTTCTCTCCTTCTGTGGGCTACTCGGTTAACCATCGTGGAGAATGAATTGCTAAGAGAATAAACAAACATCTCGGTTGCATTCGCGTCCAGCAGGCAACATAAAATCAATTTTGCTTTTCTTTCTAAAGCAAAAGTTTCGCTGTAGTAACGATAGCGAGGCGGCTATCAATGCCCGCCCACCTGTTCCTGTATGCTGCATTGCCTGCTTTGTATGCGTACCACTCTGCCTACGGCCGAATGGCTACGGTACCCTATGATATAGCCCGATTCCAGTAGGTATACCACGTACATATATTGCATATCGACAACCACCGTCTGTAGGTAAGCATGCGAGCACGACCGCCATATGTCATTGTGGCACGTAACCAGTTGGCAATGTCCCAGCAGCTATGGGCAAGGCCGACTCGATTTCCTGTTTTTCTCCTCGCATTGCATTGCTTCATGTGCTCCCGCGAGGGTGGCAACTATCTCTCCCGCCGCCCTCGTCGGCACATATGCGCGAGTCCAGTGATAGGGGCTAGGACAGGTTACTGCATAAGTGAGGCCACTAGGCAATATATGTGCACCTCTTATATGACGCCGGTCGGACGGCGGTGAAGTTCGGGCTACTCGGCCTTCAGCTTATATTCTATTATGTGCTTGGGCAACTTTTTGTACTCTAGGGGGCGTATGCATGCAGTCAGCTATCGAGTCTCGGGTGGCTGCTCGGCCGGCTCGGAAATGTCAATAATCTTCGAGGCTGCTGAAATATTGTCATATGCATGAATTCTCTGCCTGCCTACATCATTTTGGGTAAGTTCAGTAAGGCCGTCTATGCACATCTCTTATGGCCGGATCTATATATGATTCCTTCCGTATCTGTCATACTCTTTAAAGGATAACCAGGTATTATATCATAAGGAGTCAGGCTTTTAAGAGGTGTCTTTTCAACGTAAGAGTTATAGTATTGTACCTATTCCATACGTTGTAACAACCCATCATCGGCAGCACCTTGCTGGCCCCGTTTTCTTTCGCATTTATTCTTTCTCCTTGCGCCATGTTGATTTGATATCACAGTCTTTTTGCTTACTAGCAAGACAAAGCTCGTTGCAGTCGCTTCCCATGCACGTCGACAGATGCCCTCTTACCCTAAACCCACACGGATACTTCTTTTCACATAAGCTGGTGAAAAGTTTCGGGTTTGTCGAGTTAAGATGAGCATAGGGATGAGACGTGAGTCTTTAATTATTCGGTATATGATATACTACACGTCAAGAGCAGTACCTATTGAGTTATTTTGCAGTATGGCATAAAGCATGGAGGACATGGGGTGTAAACAGTTATTTCATGAAGAAAGCTTTGAGCGAAGAAACTCGACCGAAAGCTGACATTCTATCCAGATTTCTGAGTGCTCCGGTTCTTTCTTCGAGGTTAGCATGTGATTAAGCTTCTATCCGGCTGTGTTCAACACATATCTGCTGCCACCAATTACTACACAGTCAACCGGAGAGGATGTATAGCCCGTCAGTATTATGATATCCTCTCTGTCAAAGGGCCAAACCTTGCTTAGTATCCTATACATTCATCTTCTATAATATAATCTCCAAGTTGTCCGTTCACATACTATCACGTTGGACACTGGCTGTATGCGGCGCAGACTTCAAGACAGTAGAGTCTAACTCTGCTGGTTTCATCTTGCCGCCCACCTCTTGGATTTCACGGGTAGCATCGAGTTCATACACTCTCGTGATTGCAACTTGAGGACCCTCAGCGTCTAGCTCTGCTTTTTTGAATTTGCCATCTATCTTTGAGTCCCTACTCTGCTCAGGATTCGAAGACCCTTTCTCGCTCGACGACCTGTGTCGATAGTATAAGACGAGTCCAATCAAGCTGGCAAAAGCAGCTGGAGATATCGTAGCACCAATGACTATGCCAGCAATCGCGCCATTGCCGATTCTTAGGCCTGAGATTAGGCTTTGTGTCGGACTTGTAGTGTAACTAGAGTACCTGCTGCTAATGCCACTTGCGACATATCCATCGCCACTTGAATTTGTCGAGACCTCGCCTGTTGTCATTGTAGAAGTAAAGGTAAGACTCGATGAGCTAAATGTTGGCGTGTCTAGGCTTGTGTCAGGAATGGCATTGGTGGGTGTGCCACTCTGGTCTATACTGTGACTGACACCTCCATCCGCATTATCGTCACTATCGTCATCTTCATGCCGGCTGCCATTATTATCTCTCCCAGATATAATATTGAAGGGTGGAGAGATGCTGAATGTACCCTCGCCCCCATCCAGGCTGAAATTGAGGCCGTAGAAATATGAAAACGATGCTCCAAGTGTTGAAAATCCTACTGGCCAGGAGAAGCTCCCGCCTGCAACATCTATTGAGTCTATGAGTCAATCAATTAGCTAATACTATTCATATATCAAGAATCTTTGAGGAGAATATTGTTATCTCACATGCTATCTCCCACATCCTGCTTAAAAATTCTGAGGTCTAGCTACCGAGTAAAGTCATTGTGCCGCGGCCATTTGATGACTTTGCAATCCATCTGATTATGTATGTTGAGTCTGCAACGACGGCTTCGTTCTTCAAGGGTGCAAGAAACTCAACGAAGCCAATTGTACCTTGGGAGGGAGAATGCGACTACTGACAAACTAAACCATACTAGCTTCTGGAGTGAGGTCATCACGACTGTGTCCAGTGTTGCATACAAATGTTGAAGAGTTGGTATGGAAGCCTCCAGGACTGGAAGTTCTAGGACCCGGAAATAGAAGCCTCTATACCACTTGCGACCCACATGAAGCAGAGGGAAGGATGTGTAGCGCCGCGTAAAAACGGTGAAAAACATGTTAGAGCTGCTAAGAAAACTGGGCGTTACGGTCGCAATGCTCAATTTAATACGGGCCAAAGCTGTTCACCTTATTATCGGATTTAAAAGTGGCTGTCACGGCTGCGGCTTATCGGCGGCGGCGGTCTACATAGGCCGGGCTACAGGTCTGCTGTAGAGTTTAAAACATTTTAATCGGGTGGTGTAGTGGTCAAGCACACCTGAACGCTGTACTATGTATGGTATGTGTACTAGGGAGACGCAGGTTCAAATCCTGTCTCGATTGAGAATTTCTTTTTTCAATTTTATTATTAGCAATATCATAATTTTCAAAGGGAGCTTGGTAGGTGGCTAGTATAAGGAGCTAATCAGGGCAGTTATAGTGGATTCACAGGATCCTTACCTAATTTGTATGAGGGATAAATGAACGCGTTAGGCAGCCTGTACAGAAGAAACAGACCTAATACAACAACACTTTCGATCTATAGATTGGCTATTGCAGAGAGCTCGCCGAGTGTTCATAGTTCCGTCTTCCTCAATACGGTGCTCTGGTGGGGCCGAGGGGCCGATGACAAAACGGAACGCCGGCGGCTAAGACTAGAGCAGAATTGACGCACCGCCACGATGAGTCAGCAGAGGCCCTCGTGCTGGGTGTTCGATTTTGCATGGATAGTCACTGATGGGTTGGCTAACAACCCGACAAGAAAATTGAAGTGAAAGAAATTAATGGAGGACAAAACAAAGCTGAATAATATTTGTAGTTAAGTTCTATGTAAGAGAGTACTCCCGTTGATATAAAAAGAGCTCGTATCTAAGTGTCGGGGTGTCTCAGGGGGTATCAACGCAGGAGTGCATGCAACGCTTTGGAGCGCCCCTCACTCCTGGCCGCCAGCAGCCCCCAAGGCTTTATAGGCTACATCGAAATGTCCATTCATCTTCTTCATATGTTTGATAAGGAAGGAACCCTCAATCTCATGCTCATATCGCCTCCATATCATCTATAGTTTGTAGGTTGACTGGTGTGTTCGCAAATTCCATGTTGTAAACTGACAATTATCTTTCGAAATAGTAGGGGAGAGTTTAAGGGAGCTACGTGGAAATATGTGCTATGAACTACCAGGACTGTATGAATCTAACAGCACCTTCAAGAGTGCGACTGAACGGAAGGCAGACCCTCATTCATTTTTGTAACACTGTAGCATCCGCCCCTTTTCTTCGTGTTCGGTATTAATGATACTGCAATTTTGGCCTGGATAACGCGACCGTGACCGAGTTTCTCTAATTGAATATGCTGTCATATAGAATGGAATGCAGAGTGATATGGATTAAAGTGTTGGTATGACCGGGCACACTTATGATGAAAAGATAAACCGTAAACATTTACACTATTGTAAATAAAGGCTTCGCTTTCTACTTTATATTTCCCAGAATTTTAGACTTTTTAATTTGCAGTCTTTGATCCGTAGCTTGATTACACCCCATCATAGAAATCTAGCTCTATAGGAGGGACATGTATTGTGATGATTTTATAAATAACTTTCAGAACAGTAAGGATAAGAACGGTAAGTATAAGCACGGCGCTAGCATCTCCGGAATGCTTGAAGCGGTTTTCGAACATGTTCACTGCGCTTGCTAAACCACTGCGCAAACATTTCTGCAAGGTCGGGGTCTGATACTTGGGGCTGTTATGGGAATGGCAGTTATTTTTATTGGCTTGTAGATTTTCCCGTAGTTCCGGTTCGCAACGAAGCCCACAGCCACAGTCATTCCGCAGCTACGTCACGTTCTTAACTACGGGTCCGTATAAGTAACCACACGCAGGCACCCGACTTGACAACGTCCTACTTTCGCTGTAGTGCCTTCATTTCTCACGGGAGAAGGGACGGCTGCAAGGAAACAAAGAGCCAACTATAGTGCTTTATAAGTCGCCCTTTATTTAAAGGGAAGGTCGCGGTTCTGGTTTTCTTTCGGTTTTAGCAGTATCAAATGTAAAATGCCCTAGGCTTTAGGAATCTTTCAACATGTCCACCTACACGTATGCCCCCTTAGACGGAGATGCTTCACATCTAACTATCTACGGACAAATATTCGGAAGTGGCCTGTAACCTCTAACACGCGTCTCTCAATGCACATGACCTTCCTCGTTACAAAGCGCTCTCCTACACTTGGGGTGACGGTCTGACCTCTGACCACATCATTCTCGACGATACGCACTTCGCCGTGAGAGAGAACCTAAGAATCGCCCTTGCTGCATTGCAATGAGATATTTGGGCATCAGAGTCTTCCATAACTGTGTATGGGAGAAGGGCACGTTATGTGTTATTGTCAGTGACTCAGTTTCTATACTTTCTTGTCTACAGCTCTGTCATTGCCGGTGCGAAGCACTGAAAGTACTGCCTGTATATGGTTCTCTACTACCAAGGAAACTCTCTAACCTTGACGCCCAACTTCAGCTGGATAAAGTGTATGCGTTCCTTGGCCTTGTCCCCGAGGCCCAGCGAGTCAAAGCCGGTTAAACCAAATCAGCTTCGGAAGTCTATGTTGAGACGGCCCGACATTTGATCGAGACGTCTCGTAACTTACATGTGCTTCGTGCATGCCTTTTCACTAGCGCTGTGGAAGACCTCCCGTCGTGGGTACCTGACTGGACAGTGAAGCAAGTCCGGTCAGTCGGCGGATTGGCTACTGGCGAGAACCATATTACGCTTTGAGCCCGGCGGCAACGAAGTACTTAACTTCGCTTTCCCAGGATACGAAAGCCCTCACACAGGCTGCAGGATTCGATCTCTCATCCAATGTTGGCGATGGCTGGAACCTACCGGCAGCGTTCTCTTCAAATCCACGCCACATAATGTGAAAGGGAATTGCCGTAGCCACTCTGAAAGGAAACCCGCGCACATTCGACCAGGGCGTGAAACTAAGAAATCCAACGCCGGCCGAGAAGACGGCCAAAAAAATTGTGCCCGCATGCCTCGCGCAGCTTGGTCATTTATATATGTCACTCTTATTCCGAATGCCCCGGCTGCGCACTCTCCTCGCATATTTGGTGCGACGAGATTTCGGGGGATCTGGATATTTTTTTCGATTTCAGTTGGTTGTCCTCGACGCCGGTAAATATTCAAATCGCACAAGGCGACCGATGACCCAGTACCCGCAGTCTCTCGACGCCTCCGTTACCTTTATGAAGTCTCCGGTGCGCCCGGAGATACGCTTTAAATCGTGGACTTTTGAACCACGCGCCGAGTTCATCGTGAAGGGGAAAAGTAATTGAAAAGACCTCGTGAATACCTATGCTGAAGGGCAAAGAGAGGCTAAAGATGGGTATCTTATTGTAATGCTCCTTGGAGCAAAGGTGCCGTTTCTGGTAAGAAGAGTATCTGGCCCTCGGGCTAGAGCAAGGGCAGGAGATGAATATGAACATGGCGCACTAAGCGAATATTATGAACTCATCGGACCCGCCACCTTCGGGGATACGTTGCCTGATACATGGATCTGGAACAATATGAAGAGCAGAGTTGATAGAGGGGGGTATACACTTGTTGTTTTCATACTCATTTGAAAATTTCACTAAACTTTAACAGAGGCTTGACGAGCAATAAGATTTAAAACAAGAGCTACCAAACAGATTTTTCACGAGATGGTACGGAATAACCGCCGGAGACTGGGGGTATTGGGAAAGGGGTAAATATATTAGTGTAACTCCTTAGTTGTACCGGATAGGTAAGATATTTTCCTCCTTGTGCAATAACAGTTGTCAATACTGGAACATCCAGCAATGTAAACTGTGACAAACTTAGGTCGAGATTAAAACTTAATGCCTCCTCTTGCTAGGGGTAAAGGTGTCATTGTTTTCATGTATAATTAAATTAAATATGCGCCTGCGTATGCGGCAGAACAACCTTTATTGTCGCCAAGTAGCTACGCCGTTTAATAGTTTGCGGGAGGCTATCATCGCTGATTCCCGCATCTCTTCTTCTAGTGCTATGGTGAATGAGACAAGATTCCCTTTTATATATGTTGTAAGTTGTTGACCACTGATAGACGCATGACTGTGCACTCTTCGAGTCCCAAGAGATGGATAGTATTTACTTAATAGTAAAGCCTTCAAATCACTACTGTAAGCTTCTATAATTAATCAATACTTTCTGCAAGACTTTTATTAAAAAGCCATAGTATTAAGTAAGCCTAAATATAAAACTACGGTTATAACAGACCAATTCCATATGGAATTCCCACAAATACAACGCAAGGCTAAGCGCAAAAAAGGGCACAGATATTCTGACTGGTACATCGCAAAAGTAATATTTGCAGGCCACGATAAAACAAACATGATTAGAGATAAAGACATGGTTAACTCTCTAAGACGCGGAGAGGTAAACCTTGTGGACGTATGGACAGGCAGCGAAATCACTGATGCAACACAACAATCCATCATGCGCGGACTATTGCTACTATTTCCTGTACTAATTGATGGCTGGTCGGACTACATCTTACGACCCTGCATATGCTACTGTCGATCATGCTGAGCTGGATAAAAGCTGCATGACTCAGCCACCGGTTCTCGTGTGCGAATGATCTGATTCCCAGGAATAACTATTCTAGTTACTTTATTCGTTTCGAAGTTATCAATCCTCATATATGCCTAGTTTTTATGATGTCGGATGCCATCGCCGTGCAATTTTCTCAAATTGAAGGAAACCCTTCTTTATAGACATTGAAAGTTTTGCTCATAACCGTCAGTCTTTCATGTAGACCAAGCCATCATACCATAACGCCTCATCTCCACGTTTCACTAGCCGCCAGCAAGGATTAGCATGAGCGAAAGACCTATTTCTTGCCTGGTAATCTCAGCCACGCCCAGGCATAGGGCTGAGCTGAAACAGAGTTGGCGGCGTTCTATTGGTGAGTTAATGGATAGGATTCTGCAGGTAGGGCCAAGCCCCTAAGTCCTGATCGTTTTGATATCGCTCGAGGGCGATTTGGGGGCCAGAACTTCGCAAGAATAGAACGGCAGGGGTTGGCTCTTAAAATAAACGTTCTCTTTTCTTGGTAGTTCATATAGCCCTCTTTGATCGTCTGTTAAGAAGTGAGGCAGACTTTCGGACTAATTGTTGGTAGTCGTTTTCGCTCACTAGCTCTACTGCGACGCCCCTACTAACGTCAATGTCTCATGCGCATGCCCCCATCCGCAGTCCCCAGTTGCACTAAATGACCAGACCTAGCAGTCGACGCCTCCGCCAGTCAATCAATGAGTTCCGAGGGTACTTCGTTGCTTGAGTCTGCCGC